TTGGAGTAAATGCGACAACCACTCGCTACAACTTAACATATCTATACGTATATGTACATGAATTCATCGTGGTGACTACATTACCACAAGAAATACCAGTATTTCGACAACATCGCCCTGTCGATTGAATGAGATGTATTGGAGAAGTACGATTTAATTTCCTTTGATCGGCATAACTTTACTTACACATTTATATATAAAAGAAAACGTGACGACCGGCAATTCATTAAAAAAAAATATTTCTGCAAAAAAGTTTTTTTTGAGCGAAATGTAAGATCAATATTAATTAGCTTCAGTTAACTTACGTTGCTTTTCTTATGCATGTTTCTGAATGTTGCAAATGAAATGACAAATTGGATACATTACTAGCATTATTTCACAATAACCGTGTGCGATAATTTGTAAACACAAAATATTCAGTTTTCATGAATTCGAAACGCAAATGTCATTGATATTGATCCAAATTATGAGTGATTAGAGTGAATTGGTAAAGTTAGTAAAATGAAAATAAATCTAATTAGATAATTATATCTATTTCAAGACTCATTTAATGTCAAACAAATATTTATCTCTGCCTTCGCGGAAGTCGGGAAAAAAATTAACAAGCTGTGGGAAAACTTTCACCTAAGTTTAAGTTATTGTTAAAGAAAAATTACAAAAACAAAAACCCAACTAATTATTTTAGCATGCAAAGCCGTACATAAATGAAAGTTAGTTCATTAAAAGATTTACACATTTTAATACACGTATGCATCTGTGTATGGAAAAATGTTCCCCTTGAAAATCATGGCGATGTACACTATGAAGACCAATAAATATAATATTAACCAAAAGCTCCTTGGTTAGTGCGACGACTAAAAAAGAAAGAAACAATTGCATGAAATGCACGAGGCTTCTTCAATCTTTTTGTATTTTGTACAGATTCATCACATATAGTATGTATTTATATATTATATTATATATATTATATATATATATATGTTAAGATTTGTGTGTGTGTGTGTGTGTGTGTGTGTGTGTGTGTGTACAAACATCTAACGTCTACTGCAATGTATGCAATTTGACCTACATAAATAGATACGTAAACTTGTAAATCTATACGTGTACATATATTTTACAATTCGTATACAATAAGTCTGCATATATGGCTGACTATTATCTATAAGTGTATTAACGTAATAATAAAATATGTAAAGACATTAACATACTTTTGCACTTGCAAGACAACACTAAGTGAACTACAAAATAATATTCGTACGTACAAGTGAACACAAAAAAAAAAAAAAAACAAGAGAAAAAGCTAGCGAGGGAGAGTCTTGTAAAAATTAGTCAGTCAGTCAGACATCCATTCTTGGTGACATTTTTTGTTGTTTTTTTTTGTAATTTAAATGCTTTGCAGTTTTTCATTAGGTTTTTGAAACGTCATGTCTAACGAAATTCATGTACGCTGTCAGATGTAGGCAAACATTGCGGTTTTGATAATCAGCCTCAAACAAATCTATTATTAATTACGACATTCTGTTTGCGCATTTCTATACTGAATCCAGGTTAGATTCCGAATAAATCATCAACTTTAAGTGCTAAAATAACTGGATAAAAATTGAAACATGCCTTTAATTCACTTCTACAAATCCGGTATTAAAATGGATGCAATTCGCCAGCTAATAATAGTAGTAGGACTGCTCGAAGCTATCGATTGCGACGCGAAGTGGGCTCAATATGATAGAATGTCATCATACTTATATTGAAAGTAAATAAAACTGCATGTATCTGCAGTCGAATAGCGAATGGCGAGCCGCTTTTCAATTATAAGATGATTAGGAAGATGGGTTACTTTCGAAAATGGACCGTAAATGTCGTTACTGGACTGGAAATTCCGGAATGAAATTTGACAAAGCACGTTTACAACATGTCACAAAATTTTATGTACTTTATCCGCTGCATTTCGTAACTGACTGATGATTGAAAACCATCCTCCTATATTCCATGCTAAATAATAAAACGCTACATAATGCATTCTCCCCATTTGCCTTTACGTGACAAGTAAAATTAGCTGTGCGTAATAAACTGCGACAGAACTTTGCCGCTAACCTATTATGTATTGCTCATGGGGTCTTTAATGTCTGAAGAAGTATTCTTCCATCCGCGATTTCCTAAATGTTCTACAATCTTTAATAGCTTGAATAGTAGGATCAATTTAGTTTGACCGCACTTCATCTTACGGCTGCCACAGCATGTTGGGAACTTGAATGCCATGATTTTGTTCACTTAAATATGATTTTAAATTTTCCTTCTCGAATAGAATCGAGTAGGAATTAATTATTTCTATTAGAAAATAAATGTTTTCTTTAAATAAAACATTGTTCTTCGAGTATTTTTGCGTATGCTATCTTAAGTATATTACGTTGAATAGATTTTCAGTATGTTATAGTGCTTAGTCCTTCTATATACGTGCATTTTCATATGAGATACTTTATGTGAGATTGAGAAAATCTATAGGATGGTTGTAGTTTGTAAAGTTTATATAATGTTCCATGTGCAATGATTTCACACACTTTCAATGATATAGGTGCTCTTGTACCTATACGCTTTT